AAAAAAAAAATCTCAGCACAGGGCCTGAGAGCAATCTGAATTTTTCAGAATATATTTAAAAATCCGGTCAGAACATACACTCTTATAATAAGTGCCATTTCTACATATGTTTCTGCGAATAACACTGAGAAAAATAAAACACACTACACATTTCTTCTAAGGAATTCCTATGGGTTCCATGGGATGTTGTTAAAGAACTAAAGCTACACAAAACAAAAAACTCCAAAGAAACAAATCCAAGATGGTGGTGAAAGACAGAGAGCTCATTCCCTCCCTCAACACACTAAATACACACCTATATCAAGCAATTCCTACCGAGAGACAACTTAACAGCTCTGTACAACATACAGAAGGGAATCGTGGGGGCTCTGTGGAATCTGATGGACTCCTACAGGATCAGATGAGCCACCGAGTGCCGCTGTTTGCATTCCACTACACTTGACAGCATGATTTAAGGTCTACCCAGGGGCTCTAGCCAATCTGCACGGCTACTACAGTGCAACCCCAGACACCATCTCTAAAGTTAGCTGGAAGTAAAGCAGGTACAAAAAGGCACTCCAGTGTGTGCACAGAGCCCTCCATCCACACAGCAAGGTCTAGTGGGTACCACAGGACACTGATGTGCACATGTACCAAGCCACTGCTGTGTAAGAAGGAACCAACATGGTACCACAGAGTAAGTACTGACAGGGGAGCCCATCCCAAATGGGCTCTTGCAGCAGTCAATTAAATCACCAGCACACGCATTGTGGGTACACACCAAGCAGCCCTACATGGAGTAACAGGAAACCACCTCTCACAAGTTATGCCTCTACAGCACAGACTCTGTTCTCTTACAAGACAATAAAAACAACAGGGATCACCACAAGACATACCAGACTGCCCTGCATAAGAGGGTAGATCTAGAGCAGCTCCAGCAAACAACTGTGCATATACCTCAGGGCTGCCCCACCCAGACCAGCAGGGCACAAGAAAGAACACACACACCAAGCTACCCCCTAAAAAAAATTCCTTTTGGCTACGTGGCAACCCAGGCACCTCTGGCTCCTGCCCCAACTCTACATGCCCTATCGAAAGCACACAGCATGCAGTCCACACAAAGCCCACTAGTACACAAGACCACGTTATCGAGATGGGGAGATATAATCACTTCATCTAACTCAGAGGCACAAACACAGAAAGTCAAATAATATGAGACAAAAAATTATAGAGAAGATTGGGGAATCACAGGAGCTTTCCAGATTCTAATGGAATCCATCAAGATCAGATAGATTCCAAAAGAGGCACTAAGAAAATGAGGCAATAAGAAAAAAAAAAAGGAAGAAATTCTAATGAAATGGGAATAAGTAATTTGCCTAATAAAAAATTTCAAAAGAAGTCGTAAGAAAATTCAACATATTTGAGAGTAGAAAAGAACTCAAGAGAAATTTAAGAAAGAAAATATGTAATAAAGATACAAACAGAATAATACAAGAACTGAAATGAAAAATACATTATAAAAAAAATCAACAGATTAGATAACACAGAAGAATAGATTAGCAGCCTTAAAGTCAAAATAGTGGAAATCGGCCAATCAAAACAGAAAAAATAATTTAAAAAAAATGAAAATACTATTACAAACCTCTGACACAACATCGAACACACTAATATATGCACTACAGAGATCTAGCAGAAGAAAGAAAGGGGCAGAAATAATATTTGAATAAACAACAGCTGAAAACTTTCCTAATCAGGAGAAACAAACATCTAGGATCAGAAAACATGGAGTTCTAAATGAAATGAACACCTAAAGGCCCACACCAAGACACAGCAACTAAAATGGCAAAAGTTAAAGAGACATTCTTGCGGGGAGCAAGAGGAAAACAAAAAGTCATATACAAGGGAAAAATGAATAA